GCCACCTGCTGGTCTAGGAGTTCCATGCATTGCTTGCTCAAAGTTTTGCTGTTAAAAAGCCATCATCTACGCCATTACCATCCCACACACTCTACCTTTCTAACACACAACATCACCCTAGATAGCTGAAATAGGTTTTTTTTTGTTTTTTGGGGTTTTTTTTTGTTTTTAAAGTCTTACCAATCAAGATACATACTATACACCAGCAGATGTACACCGCTTAATACATGAGACAAAACCCAATTATCGAAACAGACAACTCAATTACTTAACATGCAAAATTCACCTGTGAAATGAAAGCCACTTGACTCCTTCACATAGTACAACTCCTGATGTCATAAGCAGTTCTGCAAAGTATTGCGTCTCAATTCCTTCTTCCTCGTGCTTTTTAAACTGGATACCAGATGTTGTTAACAGTTCAATAGAGTCCTGTGCATACATATCTTCTCTAAAAGCAGAGAGAAAAACATTTTTACAATCTACAGACCTCGCTGATTATAAATTAGGTAATCTTTTTCCCCCCTATTCGTTACAAAGACATTACTAGCAATATAGGAGTAGCAACTTGAATTTGTTCCGTGTCTGTTATTAAAATGACCACTTTTCATAGCTCTTGTTAACTTTCATTAGTAGTTCATGATTCCTAGCACCTCCATTCCAGTCTCCTTTACAAAAGTCTACTTCCTGTTCCTCCCTTTTTGCAGACTCTACAGAAGAAAGTACATGTAAGGATAGTTACCTTACAGTTTAAGGTAACGATCCTGTTCAGTAACAAAACAGTTGGACCATTGACACCTGCTACATTACAGAATTAATATCAATAACCAAATTCCAGTGCTGTATTTGTTATGTGCTTTTCATCCACTTCTTGCTATCTATAATTTAAGCTTGCTCGTGAATATTCAGATACATGCTCATCAAAACCCCTCCTTACAATTAGAAATTCAGCACTTGCCCCATTAAGTAAACTCCTGAAATCCAGAGAGTCTACCATTCTGTTCTAAATCATCAACTTCTCTTTAAGAGTCAGATTTTGAACCTACAGTTTAACAAGGAGGGAAAAAAAAATAATCCAATACGCCTTACTTGATCCCGTTTATCTCTGCATTTGTTCCATTTACCACCCTCAATTTTGCGAGTTTTTCGTTACAAAATACCAAAGTGGATAAAAAGTATCATCTGAAGTATAATTTTCAAAATCATTGGAATATATAGAGCAGTTATTGGAAAAAAAAAAAATGCAAAGCTGGCTCTACTTAGGTATTATTTACATTACTCTCTATAACATTGTTTTACAAAGTCTCTTCACCATATAGTTTTCCATTTTCATGGGGGAAAAGACCTCAAGAAATAAAACTGATACGACAATCCAACTGGACTACTAGGTTCAGCTGCAGACTTATATTTCTTATTCCTAACAGCAAGTCATAACTCATCAAGAGAGAAATACATTCTCAGGACATGTTGTATCTTTTTTTCCTTCTCTCCCACACAGCTGCTCATTAGTTCTCCAACTTTAAGGCATCAGCTTCCCAACACCTGTCCATTTCCATAACACATTAAAGAACCCATGCAAAACAGACATGCCTATCATGCTCAAAATAAATAAAAGTTCATTCCAGTTTGTTCCTCTGCAGGTGGATAGTTAGTCTATAGAATCAATTATGCTCCTTAAAAATATACAGTGATAGGAAATGGTTGGAAAAACAAACAAACAAAAAAAAAACAAAACCAAAACCAACCCAAACCTTCTTCTAGGAAAAGTGAACAGTTGCTTTGCTTCAGAAGCAGAACACTTGGAACAGTGCCACTTCCCAAAAAGTAAGTTTAGGAACACACACATGCACAAACACACATTTTGGCATCCCTATTCAAAATGTTCACGTTTCATGCAGCACTCATTTCATTCTGTATAAAACCTCCCCACCCCCAATGAACTAGCAACAAGTCTGTTGAATGACATCCTAGATACTACTTTACTAAGCCTTCTTATCTATGCAGTATCTGAAACAAATGAATGGAAAACTACTTTTGTTTTCAGCTGCTTGATATTAGCAGACCTTAGAAACTGAATAAAACATAACCCAGGTTCTTCTTCTCAGTTTGAAAGTTATTAATTCATCCCTCTTCCTCTTTCTACTGCACTCAGCATCTTTAGCACGTTCTTCTAACAGATATCTTCCCTTCAGCACTCATACAGCCAAGTTTAGATATACCAAAATATCAAATCTGCACTTCCTTTTCTTTCAAGTGATGTTTCAAACATCTTTAATCTTTTTAAACTTTAAAAGTTTAAAAAGAGAGTGTCAGTCCTCAGACTAAACTTATTTGTGACAAGCATTGCTTGTTTAGAAAAGTAGAAAGATTAAGAGGGGCAGCAGCAGATTTCTTTCATAAGAATCACAATTACTTTAATTATATAAATAAACTGGGGAAAAAATAAACTGGGGAAAAAAAAAAAAACACAAAGGCTTGTTCTTCGGGCTTCCTTTGTAGGCTGCAATTTTAACTCATGCACTGGAGTGTTTCAATGATCAGCCCAAAACACTGCCAAAAATCCCCAACCCTTCAACAAATTTAAATTCGATAAGTGCCTGCTCTAATACTTTTATCAGGCCATATGAGAACCTGTCAGACCAATTATGTCTACTTATGGAAAACGTCAAGATGGGGTCATAGCTGCTTTAGTAACCTTGTCAAGTACTGCCAGATGTAATCAGAACCTTATTTAGGCATCTCAGCCCACTGGGCAAGTCACATTCATACTTAAAGGCTTACCACTAATACAAAATATGTTCTGAAATGAAGGCCAAAACACAGATCATAACAAAACAGCTTGCATTTTTTAACAACATATTAACAAGAAGAATCCAGAACCAAAATCTCTGCAAGACAGACTACACTGAAATAAAGGAATAAAGCACGTATGTTTAGTTAACACAAGTCCCCCTCACATAAAGGATTCCAATTAATAGATTAAAAATATTTGCTTTAACTTTTACAATCTAAATTTTCATTAAATCAGAAACATACATCCAACAGTATAGAAATGTGAGACTCACGTTAAATTAAATTTAAAATTAAATTGCCAAGTTGAAGTTCCTGGAGGGTATTCCCCTTGCTCATTCATAAACGTCAGTCCTAGTTGAATTATTTTTAGCAAATCTACATTGCAGCGTAATAATTGGTATTGATAGTCTGCATTGCTTCTGAATTCTCCAATAGGCCTTGCAACTACTCCTGGAAATTCTGTATCCTGTAAAGAGAAAAGCATAACTTTAGTAGGAGACATCTATAAAACTTCACACACTTCCTGTTTTTAATAAAACATTTCAAGCATCAAAAAATTCCATAGCTGAGGAATGCTGTGCACAAACACAGCTTTAAACACAATAACGGATGGTGGTATTAATGTTTATGCATTAAGAACCCACTTTTTTTTTTCCCTATAAAAGTGGAAAAATAATTTTACTAGCATCAATTTCACTAACATCAGAAAAGATCATCACACTTTTTTTTTTTTTTTTTTTTTTTTTTTTTACAAGAAAAATTGATGCTAGTAGAATCATCAAATGTTATTACCAACAAGATTTTACAAGTTTTTAGATAAACATCAAATGTTTACTTACCATAGCTACATAGTTATACTTCCGTATAACTTGACGAATTTTCTTCATCTCTTCATCCAAGTTACAAGCCCAGACCTCACAGATTCTTTGGCTATGGTCTACGGTAGCTGCTGGCATAGTGGGGGGCTTTAGAGACCATACATCAAAAGTTACACTTGACTGAGGATCAGTTTCATAAAGAGAACCTTACTTTTCTTTTTTACCTAAGAGACAAATAAAGTATTAAGTTTTCATTTGTCAGTTATCTAGAAAAGATGCTGTAAGAGCAGGTACAAGCTTCACCCTTCAAAGCAGAGCCACCAGAACCACGCGCGTTTCAGTTACGTGAGTTTCTCACCCAAAATAAAACCCTCAGCGTTCCGCTGGTAACTGTACTTGGTGCAAAAAGCCAGGTCCGCCGGCAAGCAGTACAGCGAATCAAAAGGACACCCGGGCCCACAAGCGAGTCAGAGGAACGCGCTCCTTCGGGCTCCACGGCTGCGCGTGGCATAAAGCAAAGCGGCAAAGCGCCTCCCAGCGTTCCGCCGCGTCCGAGAGCCGCCGAGTACCAACGGGCGGTCGGTCGGGGCGCCGCACGGAGCAGAGATGACGCTTTTCGATCTCGGGGGCACGAAGCGAGCCCACCTGGTCCCGAGCGCAGTACCGGGCACCGCGGGACGCGCACGGACACGGCCCCGCCGCTCTCCCAGAAGCGTCCCCAGGGAGCCGAGGCCTTCCACGCACCCCGAGCAGTCTCCAAGCCCTTTCCCCGCAACAGAACGCCACGACGCCCTCCGCGCCCGCCCGTCCGGCCGCTCCCCCGCCCCCTCGGGACAGGCGCACCCCCAGAAGGCCGCGCGGACTCCCCGACGCCTCCTCCGCCCCCGGGCCGCCTCGGAGCCGCAGCCCCACCGCGTCCTCGGGCCGAGGCCTAGCGGGGCGCGGTTCCGGGAGAGAACGGCGGGGCGCGGCCCCCCGTCGCTGCCACCCGCCCCTCACTCACGCGCTGGGCCGCGGGGGGGCCGGGCCAGGTCCTGCGAGGCCCCCGCGGCCCCCGCCGCCCCGGAGCCGCGAGTGGGCGCGCAACACGCAGAGAGCGCAGCGCCCGCCGCACAAAGCCATTACATCATCGCCGCGCGCCACCTCGCGACCTTTCCCCCCATCGCCTCACCCGCCGCGCCGCCGCCCTCCCGCGCCGCCGCTCGCGGAGCCGCCAATCGCCGTCGGCTCCGCCCCGCTCCCTCCTCGCCCCGCCCTCCCTCTCTGACGGAGCGGCGCGCGGCGATGACGCGACTGGCGCGCGGCCGCGGAAGTAGGGGGGGAGGAGGCGGCGGCGAGGTGCGCGTGCGCGCGCGGAGGCCGGGCCGAGGTTCCACCGGTGTCCGGCCGCCCGTCGGGCCGCGGCGCGGCCATGAATTGGCTGTTTCCTCTCGGTAAGGGCGGCGGCGCCTCCTCGTCCGCCGCGCCGCTGCCCGCCCTCACCAGTCTCCAGCAGCAGAAGCAGCGGCAGATCGAGTCCCTGCGCGGTGCGCACGCCTCGTGAGTGGCCGCGGCCGGGTCGGGCGCCCCGTCTGGGCCTGGGCGTGACTTCGCCCCCGGAGGGCCCTCCCGCCGACCCCGGGCTGGGTTCGGGCCGAGATCGGACCCCTCTGTGTGAAGCCCTGACGGGTCCTGCCGGCCCTCGGCCTGCCCGGGGCGGGAGAGCGGAGCGGCTCTGCGGGACGCGGCCGGGAGGCGGGGGGAGCTTCCTGGGAACGGGTTAGAGGAACGTGCTTGTTGGAAGCGAAGGATGAAACATCCGGTGTAAAGGTTCTGTCGCTCAAGCAGCAGCGGCACGGCAGCCCTGCTGGCCTTGAGAGCTGCTCTGCTGGGAGGCACGGCTTTTCTTCGTTGAGAACGGACTGTACGAGAGACTTGTTTTCCCTGGATGCTCACCGCAGATGTAGGCAGGGTTTTCTCCTGTTCAACAGCCACAATTTTACAGCACTAGACCTTTCTTCGTTCTGAGAAATTTCTGATGGCAGAACTGCTAATCAGTTTCACGTGTTCTTGATCTGCTAACTATGCTCGTCTCCTTTTGCAAAGATATCCACGCTTCAGATCTCTCCATTTCAGTGACCATTTAAGCAGTCATCGAGCTTCTGAGGAAGCCGGTCCCTCTGAAATGGTTTGATAGCAATCTCCAAAAACTATCTATAATAAGGAAAGAGAATGTTTTGTGTTGTGTTCAGCTGACACCAAGGGCCTGCTTGTGGTTGTAGACTTACTAGGTGCAAACAACTCTACTGTGAGTTAGCACATGGGAAGCACAAGTATGAAAATACTGCTTATTGCTGCTGTTTGCTTGAACTGAAGTGTGTTCAGAGCCAGTTTCACAAATATTTTGGAAAGATGGCTCACTCCTCTAAGAAGTTTTCTCTTGGGTATGCAACACCTTACTGAACTGGATGTTTTTGTTGGGCCCGCCTTACCGAGTCCTATATTCCTGCTCTTTTTGTTGTAGTACAGAGAAACTCACCTAAAGTTATTATTATTAAAAAACAAAACAAAACAAACAAACAAAAAAACCAACAACAGTTTTATTGTATTTGCTCTATTAGCCAGAATTAAGAATGTGGTTTTTCATGTGCACGCATTTCCACTTGGGAAAGAAACAATTCACTTTATTGGTTGAAGACTTTGCTTGCAGAAGGTTTCAGCTCAGTGAGGTCATTTGTTTTTTGTCTCCTGCTTCTCCTCTCCGTCCCCAGTTCCAATAGACTGTGCAAGTGAGGGGAGCACATTTATATACTCGTCTGAAGACAATCATGTGTCTGGCTGTTAAGGTGCTGACATACCAGTGTCTTAAGGGTAGGAATGTGTGAGAGATTACAGTGAGAATCCTTCAGTTAAGAAGGAAGAATGGTGATTCCTGTGCATGGTGTACCAGAGGAGAACCTTCAACTCTTGTTTGTTTGGTTCTGATGTCTGATGGTTTCCTCAAAAAGCATGAGTTATCACAGAGAGAG